ACGGGAACGCGAGGTGCAGGAATGCCCTCGGTTCCAGTGAAGTGCGATCTGAAAAAATGATGCATGCACTGGAACGGAGGGCATTCCTGTACCTCGGGTTCCAGTGCGGGTGTTCTATCAAAGCTGGTGACTACGTTAGCATGTGTGACCGATCACGTGGTCACACATTTTAACATAATCCCACCCAGTTTTTCGGCAGTGGAATGTGTGGCCGCTCATTATGTCAAGCATTCCAACACTTTGTCAGCTGCTCCAGGGCAGATCGGCATTGCAGATCGTATGTGCAGGAGAACCGATCTGCCCTGGAACATCTAATCGGTCCTCAAAATGCCACTTCTATCTGACTGACTAAGATCTCCAATTCCACCCCACTCACAGAGTCGGATAGAAGTGACTTTTGAGGACCGATCATATGTGCAGGAGAATCGATCTGCCCTGGAAAAATTGGGTGAGATTGCGTTAAAATGTGTGACCAGTCACATGTTCCAACCTAGTCATAAAATTTGATGGAACACGAGCGATCGCATGTCTGCCTTGCCATTGACATAAAATGGCACCAACACGGCCTGGCTTCATGTATGCGATCCAGTGCGTTCCGAGCGCAAACTGCACCGGAACGCACTGGATATGGTGTGACTAGGCCCTGAAGGCTATAGCTCGGCTTCACTTAAAAGTGACATTAAAGTCTCTGTGTGTTTTCCCCCCATTCTAATGCTGCTGTAAGTACTTACATTATGTGATGCCTCCTGCTCCGATCATCTTCTTCCTTCCAGTAGTTTGAAGCAATCACTCCAGCGCTGGTGCCGGTCTCTGATCCAGCACAGACTCATTCTTCCTGTCCCACGTTGTCTGTCCGGCGTGCACGCTCACGGCTGCAGGCATTCCCTTCCATTGAGTCCGTCCTCTTCAGTGATATTGACTGCGCATGGGCCCGCACACCTCCTCCTGCACGGCCGTTCGGAAGATGTGTTCTGCAGCCGGGAGCGAGCAGTGCAGACATAAATAGTCTATTTAAAAAAAAAATTTTATTCTTATTTTTTTTAGGTTTTTGCATAATCCTACTGCTTGCTAGCAGTAGATGTAACAAAATAAAAAACAGAATAAAAAAACAGGACTTTAATTCTACATTAAAACGACACTAATTGCAGGAGTTAAACCTTAAAAATACATTCAAGTACCTTAACTATTAATAATACTGTATCTTATTTGTGTATCACTCGGCTGTAGATCCTGAAATTATTACTTGATTGGTGCCGACGCTGTCCTTCCTTCTGGAGGGTGACTACTTTTCTTCCCCATGGTCCCTGTGTGTGTTGTAAAGTACCACCGCTCTAAGCTGTGGTGGACTACAATCTCTTGTTTAGTTTTACTAATTTGTGTTGAGATTGTAGTCCATCACAGTAGCCACCCTCTAGAAGGAAGGACAGTGTAGGCACCAATTCAGAGAGGATTTGAGGAACTACGGCTGAGTGATACACAAATAAGATACATTTTTGTTAATAAGGCACTTTTTAACATTTAACTCCTGAGTTTAGTGCCACTTAAAAACACTTAAAGCAGATGGCAGGGGAAGTATAACACACACACACCAAAATACAATAAAACAAAATAC